TTTCCTGAGTGCCTGGAGCCCTCCAGGCATTCGGGAAGCGCTCAAAAACCGATGTGTTCGGAGCTACTGTGACTTCTTCGGCGTGTCATGGGAACGCTCCTTACTTCCTCAAAGGACCTTCGCGCGCGAAAAAATCAGCATGATTTCCCCACTCCTGCGCACAAGCGTGCCAGCGCATCGTCCGAAAGCGGTGTCAGCAGGCACCCGGGATATCGGAAAAATGGGCGGGTCGCCCGTCCAGGCCTCGAGGCCCCCCCTGCTGAAGAAAGCGATGATTTATTGCTTTGCCAGGGAAGCGTCTGGAACAAGTCGAATGGCGCGAAGCGCCAATGCAGTCTTGTATATTTTATATATATATATATATATGTATAAATAGATGCTGGGGCACTGGGTGCCCGGGGCCTGGGCCGTGAATCTTCCTGGATGTTCATCCCCCTTTCGGCCCACGACATTGTTGACCTTTCTGGGGCCTTCTATGCAAGCCTCGTGCTCCGGAGGCCACTCGGACAGCCTGCAGTGGCCCGACAGTTTCGCTTTCCTTCTCGAGTGGTTATATACCAATTATTTGTCTCTTCCGATGCCCTGCCCCTCGCTCCTCGCTCCCCCTCTTTTGTTTCACCCTGTCATCCTTCCGCGGCGCCCCGGCGCAGCGCCCCCGCGGTGTCTTGACGCAGGCCGCATGTCCGCATGTCCGCATGTCCTCTCGCTGCGTTAATTCTCTGTGCGGGGTGTCTTCGGCGGAGTGTCAAGCATGCGATGCTGCACTTGGTTGCCGCTGCCTTCCGTGCTCGGCGCGGCCCTCGAGGTCGCCCGTGCGCGAGGGCGGCCGGCACGCCGCGACCTTGTCGTCAGCAGTAGCCTCAGCCTTGGTTCTTTCCTCCGCTCCTCTCGCGAATGGCCATCCACTGCGACGTTCGGTGGCAATTCACAGGAGCCTCCTATACCATCGTGTCGGCTGCGAATCGACGCAAATCGACGCTAACCGACGCTAGCTCGGCGCTATCTGATCTACTCCCAGACGCTGATCGACGGACGCCAATCGACGCCAAAGACGGAATTAAGAGGGCATACCAGCTTCCCATAATTTGCCACCGAATCGGCGACGTGCACTTTTCTTCCCAGCACGTCACGATCCTAGCGCAGATTGAGTCGATCGTTGAGACTGTGCCTGATGCTAGCTATTCCGCGCAAGAACCAGCACGATCAATTTTCGATTCATCACGTCCACGGAGGGGGAACACGAGCGGGGAGGCAAGGGTTGGAGGAGACGAAGGGTAGGGGGATGGGGGACGGGCGGACAGGGCAATTCCCGCTTCTCTCGGGACCGTGGTCTGGGCTGGCGATTGTGGCGACTCCGAGAGCCACATCGACAGCGAGCTTTTTGTATGTCTCGGGCGGTTCAGAGGTTCCTTTTCCTCCCCCTCTTCCTCCAATTTCCGTCGGTACCCTCTCTGTCCGTTCTGAGATGTCTGTGCCTTGATTCGCGCCAGTGCGCTGTACTGAGCGGCCGACGGTGCCGTGAGCACCCTGCGCCAAGCGCGCAGGGTGAGAGCTCTGGAGGCGCGATGGTGGGCAGGGCGAGGGAGGTTCTGCTATCGGGAGGGCTGCGCCCTCGACCACGGGCCCCTGTCTCGGGGGAGAGGGTCGCGGGGATGCGCGCGGGAGCCCCCGGGCTGAGCCACCCTGTGGCCGTGTCGGCACAGCTTGGGGGCCACCTGGCCTGCTGGGGTCACCTTGGGGCCGTCTTGGGAGATCTCGGGGGGTTCTGGCGGCCGGCTTGAAGCGGGGAGTAAAACATTGAACACATTGGTTTTTCAGTGTGTTTGTGTGTGTTGCGGTGTGTCTGCGTTTGTGTGTGTGGTGTGTTGTGTTGTGTTGTGTTGTGTTGTGTTGTGTTGTGTTGTGTTGTGTTGTGTTGTGTTGTATTGTATTGTGTTGTGTTGTGTTGTGTTGTGTTGTGTTGTGTTGTGTGTTGTATGCGTATTGTGTGTTGTGTGTTGTGTGTGTTGTATGTGAGTGTGTGTGTGCGTGTGTTGTGTTGTGTTGTGCTGTGTTGTGTTGTGCGTGGGTTGTGCGTGTGATGTGTTGTGCTGTGCTGTGCTGTGCTGTGTTGTGTTGTGTTGTGTTGTGTTGTGTTGTGTTGTGTTGTGTTAGTTTGTGTTGTGTTGACTTGTGTTGTGTTGTGTTAGGTGTGTGTGTGTGTGTTGTGTGTGTGTGAGTGTGTGGTTTGCCCTCTCGCAAGCGTCTTGGGGCCGCCCTCCAGGGCCATCTTAGAGGCATCCTGGCACCTTACTCAGCCCTCTTGGGCTCTTGGGGCCCTCTTCGGAGCCTCCTGAGGGGCCGTCTTCGATGCATCGTAGGCCCTCCTGGCCGCGCGATAGCGCCCCTGTCGGAATCCTGGGCTGGCCTAGCGCGGCCAGGATTTTGAGGTGCACCCCCCCCCAGGTTTCTTCTTACGCTGCTTGGTCTTATCATCGGAGCGCAGGGTCGCCCGTCGAGCGGTCGACCAGCCGCCTTGCAGTTGTGCAGCCTTCAGGTGGGGCCGCGGGGGGTGGTAGCACAGGTCAAGACAGGCTGTGCAAGATGTTGTGCACACATTTTCAGGCAGACTGGTAACGACATCGGGCGGTTTGGGAAGGGTGGCGGAGAGATCCTCCTGGTGTGATCTCCTTCACCGCGTGGCACTTGAAGTGCTACCCGTATAGGTTCGATGTGCACAACCTTGGTGAGGCCATATTTTTCTTCGCGTTGAATTTCCCTTCGCGATTGGTTCCGTGTCAGTAGTGGGAGGCCGTTGTCCCCATGAGTGGGGTTTTCACCTGGGGCTGAAAATGGCCGCATACTGTTTGCTGGCCTATGAGCGCCTTCGGTCTAACGTCTTGTTCGTCTGGGCGAAGCTCAGGCTTCACGACGACCACAACCTATCCAACACGATTCATGACGTCTTCTCTTAAAGGCTGCAGCTGCTAAGCAGAGCAAGCCTGAGTGAGCTCACGCAGGATAAAGCATCGTCGATCATCATTTGGTTCGTGACCACCATTATCCTCGTCGGACCCTCCGCCACCATGCGAAAGCGTGACGAACGCGTTCAGTGTGTGTGCGTTCGGCCGTGGCGCGTTACAGCGTGCACCTGCATCTCGGGGCGCAAACCTCGGACCTTGCAGAACGAACCTGTCTGCCGCACGTACGCGCAAGTCCTCCTTGATCATAGGCAGGGTCTTGAAAGACGTCGGGGCGGACTTCGAAAGTCGGCGGTGAGATCCTCGTTGTCTTCATCGCCCTCATCGTCCTCTTCGTCGCCGTGCGAGAAGCAGCGTCGGAAACTTCCCTCGCCGGTTCACCCGATGCAGTCTCATGACTCCCCCTTGTGCGAGGTGCAAAACGACCTCCCCGATCCGGCTTGGTTGATCTCTCTCCTCCTTTTCCCTCCCCTCTCCCCATCCTTCTTCCTCCTCTCCAGTTCTTCCGACTTGTGGCGGCCATCGAATTGCAGAACTAGAAATCTGATGGCACATATCGAATCTTCAAACATCCAATGAGCAGCAAGAGTGTGATCAGCAGTAATATGATCAGGAGTAGTGGGTGTTTGGGCAGGAGCGGGAGGAGCAGGAGCAGGAGAAGGAGAAGGTGCATGAAGAGGGGCAGGATCGCGTGTGGAAGCTGGGGGCTCAGGAGATGCCAGTCGGTGCGAAACTCCGCCGCTCTGGCTCGAGTCTCCTGGCCTAGGCTTCAGCGGCCTCAGCCCGGAGCTCCGAGAGCCCCTGGCGACGGGCCCGCTGGCGCTGTCGGCGCCAGCGATGATCCCGCCAGCGGTGCCGTCGCCCACGACGGACCGCCGACGCACGCGAGGTCCCAGCTGCCGCTGAGGGCGGCGGGGGACGGTGGTCAGGGAGTAGAAGGCACCGATGTTGCGACTAGTTCGTGGGAGGCCCTCGTCGCTACGGCTGGATTCGCCGCGTAATCTTGGTCAGAGCGTAGGTCAGTGGAGCGTCGGTATCGGTATCTTTCTGCTCCCTGCCGCGGCTGCCACTGGCGGCTCTGGTGCGAGAGTCGTTGCAGCGGGCGCAGCTCCTGCACCTGGATGTGAGGGTGGGGCGCATGATTTCCGTTCGCCAGTCGAGCGATCGACAAATCGCGTTGCAGCCTTCGAGTATTCAATCGGAGCCGCGGGGGATCAAATCGCAAATCAAGAAGTTGTCGAAGATATGATACACCAGCAGTCCGGCGAATTGGTACACGCGTCGGGTGGTTGGGGAAGGGCGACAGAGATATCGAGCTAGCAGATTCTCTTTCACCGCCGGGCATTTGAGAAACTACCAATGCAAGTTTGAAGCGACCAGGAGCGTTGAGACCATATCTTTCGTTGTGCCGAGCCTCTCTCCACGATGGCCTCCATGTTGGTGGTGAGCGGCTCACGCCCCTTGGCCAGGGTACTCGCGAGGGCTTCCTCCTAGCAGCATGCTGCTTGCTGGCTATGACCGCCTTCGTTCCAGCGTCACTGCTCCTCAGGGCCAAGTTTCGTGTCTGCACGACAAGCACGAGCTCTTTCTTCAAGGCGGTTGAAGAGGTTCCGTCTTGCAGGTGAAAGAGCTTATAGAGCTTGCGGAGGCCGTGCGGCTCGCGGTGCGCCTCCGCCTTCAGAGGCAGAGCCGTGCAGCGATTCTTCCATCGGCCAAGTCTCCCCAGATGCGCGCGGGAAGAGCGACGCAGGAGCCCGTCGGTCCAGGTGCAAGCGGGCTAGCAAGGATCGGCGCGCCCCCAGGGAGCGGTGGACCTCCTCCCATGCGGGGTGCAAAAAGGGCCTCCCCCCACCCGGCTCGCTCTTTGCCCCTCCTCTCCTCCCTCCCTCCCTCTCCAGCCTCGCGACCTTGTGGCGTGCAGAGCTCCACGGCTGGAGCTCCTCTCCCTCTGCTGCTGGCTGCTCTCTGCAGGGACGCCTGCCTCGCCGCGCCCTCCATTGGCCGCGGCCTGGAAGTCATCAGGAAAAGGCCCGCTCCCAGATGCAGCAGGTGTCCGCGATGATGGCCATGGTGCGCCGGGGTTGCCGCCCGCAGTCTCGTCGTCCTCCTCGTTCTCGTTCTCCTCCTCCTCTGCGTAGGAGGGAGAGCTCGGAAGGAGGAGGGCGGTGAGGAGAAGGTCGCAGGAAAAGGAGGAGTAGGACGGGCAGGGCGCGTGGAGGCTGCGCTCCCCTTGGAGGCTGCGCATCCCTCCTTCCCTCCATCGAGCCTTCTGTTCGAAAGCGCGCCAGTGGATAGCCCTGAATACAAAAAAGGGTGTGTGTGTGTGTGTGTATGTGTGTGTGCGTGTGTGTTCGCACTCGCAGACCCCCCCCCCCTCCCCCCTGCAAAGGGGGGGGGTGATTTTCGACCCCCCCCCCTCCCCCCCGAGGGGGGGAGGGGGGGTCCGACTCCCCCCCCCCCTTCCCCCCTTGGGGGCGGGGAGGTCCGGACCCCCCCCCTCTTGTGGCACTGGAAGGGGGGGGGGGTTCGAACCCCCCCCCCTCCCCCCCTTTGCGCCGAACAAGGGGCTGGGGAGGGGGCCTCTCGGGTGGTGAGTAGAGAGTAGAGTGTTTTGAGTAGCGATTGGTAAGGAGTGGGTATTTGATAGTGAGTAGTGCGCAGTGAGTCATGAGTAGTGAGTAGTGAGTAGTGGGTGATGGGTAGTGGTAATAGTGAGTAGCGCGTAGAAATTAGTGAATAGTGATTAGTGGGTAGCGAGAAGTGGGAAGGAAGTAGAGTGTAAGGAATTATGAATAGTGAGTAGTGAGGAGTGAGTAGTGTGTAGTGAGTAGTGCACCGTGAGTAGTAAGCAGGGAGTGGGGCTGAGGGAGTAGACAGTAGCGAATAGCGAGTAGTGAGTAGTGAGTAGTGAGTCGTGCGCAGTGAGCACAGAGTAGTGAGTAGTCAGTGGTGAGGAGCGAGTAGCGAGTAGCGAGTGGGGAGTAGCGAGTAGGGAATAGCGAGTAGTGGCTAGTGAGTAGCGAGTAGGGCCTTGTCAGTAGTGGGTAGTGAGGAGGGAGTAGTCAGGAATCAGTAGTGAGTTGTGAGTAGGGAGTAGTGCGTAGCGAGTAGGAAGTAGCGAGCAGGGAGTAGTGAGTAGTGAGTAGTGAGTAGCGAGTAGGGAGTAGTGAGTAGTGAGTAGTGAGTAGTGAGAAGCGAGAAGCGGGTATTGAGTAGTGGGTAGTGAGTAGGGAGTTGCAAGTGGAAGTTTGTGAGTAGTGAGTTGTGAGTTGTGAGGAGTGAGTAGTGGGTAGTGAGTAGTGAGTAGCGATTTGCGACTAGTGACTAGTGAGTAGAGAGTAGTGAGTAGTGAGGAGTGAGTAGTGCGTAGTGGGTAGTGAATCTTTCGTATTGGGTAGCGAGTGGTGTGTAGTGAGTAGTGAGTTGTGGACACTGCGTAGTGAGTAGTGGACTGCGAGTACTCGTACTCAGTAGTAACTAGTGGATAGTGGTTAGTGGGTAGTGAGTAATGCTTCGTGAGTAGTGAGTAGTGGGCAGTGAGTAGTGTTTAGTGAGTAGTGAGTATTGCGTACTGGGTAGTGAGTAGTGCGTTGGGAGTAGTGAGTAGAGGGTAGGAAGTAGTGCGTAGTGAATAGTCGGAGCGTAGTGAGTAGTAGGTAGTGAATAGTGAGTATTGGGTAGCGAGTGGGGCGTTGGGAGTAGCGAGTAGTGAATAGTGAGTATTGTGCAGGGAGCTGGGAGTAGCGAGTAGGGGATAGTAAGTAGTGAGCTGTGGGCAGTGAGTAGTGAGTAGTGAAGTAAGAGTAGTGAGTAGTGGATAGTGGTTAGTAGGTATTGTCTAGTGGTTTGTGATTAGTGAGTAGTGGGTTGTGAGTTGTGCTTAGTGAGTAGTGAGTATTGAGTACTGGGTAGTGAGTAGTGAGCACTATGTAGTGAGCAGTGCGTAGTGTGTAGGGAGTAGGGAGTAGGGAGTAGTGGGTAGCGGGTACTGGGTCGTGTGTACTGAGTAGTGAGTCGTGCCTAGTAAGTAGTGAGAAGTGAGTAGTGAGTAGCGAGTAGTGAATTGTGTGTAGTGAGTCGTGCGTAATGGGTAGTGAGTGCTGTTTGGGGCTAGGGTTTGGGTTTGGGGTTAAGGTTGGGGGTTAGGGTGAGGGTGAGGATTAGTGTTAGGGGTGGTCGGGGTCGGGTTCCGTGGCGAGAGGGGGGGAGTGGGGGTCGAATTTGGCGGGGGGGGTCAGAACCCCCCCCCCTTTTGAAAGGGGGGAGGGGGGGGGGTTCTCCGACGACGGACCGGGAAAAAGGAGGGAGGGGGGGGGGTCCCCGTCGATGGATCGGGGGGGGGGGGGGGCCCGACGATGGATCGGGGAAAGGGGGGGGGGGGCCCCTCCCACCCCCCCTTCTGGGGACATCCAGCGGCGCGCCATCCTTCTGTTCCTCCTGTTGCCTCTTCTCTTCCGCGGCGCGCCCTCCCCTCATCATTCTTCCCTCGCCTCTTTTTCGTCCTTCGCTGCCCCTCGCATCCCTGCCTTCTCCATCCCTTCTCGGCCCCAGCTCCCGTCGTGCCCCCTCGCTCGTCTTTTGCCCGCGTCCCTTGCCCCTCCCCTCCCTCCCCATCCCTGCTCCTCTGCTCCTCCTCCCCAGCTCCTACCCTGCTCCTCCCCATCCATCGTCCTCTTCTCGAATTCCCCTTCCTCCTCCTCCTCGTCCTCAGTCTCTCTAGCGTGTTCGGTGGCTCTGGCTCCTCCTCGTCTCTATTTTCGTGCCCTTCGTCAGTACTCTTGCCAGCTGGAGTGGCCAAGAGTGCTGGCCCACACGGCCTGAAAGGCGGACCCTCCTCAGACCCTCGGCGTCGTGATTTCTTCACAACGTGGAGCTCCAGATGGTCTCGAGCACCGACCCGACACCAGCTGTCCATCGACCGAGCCGTCAGTGTTTTGGCTTTCCGGGCCCGGCAAGGGCCCCTGGAGGCCAGGAGGTCGTCCCAACGGCCTAGAAAGATCCGGGGACAAGGACTGCAGTATCGTGAGCACTCACGACTGGAGCCGCAGGCCCAGGTGTTGCGCCTTTCCGAGAGCTGGAGCAATCTGCAAGGGGCCCCAGGGCCCCAGGTCTGGGCGCAGCTGCCCAGCGTGAAGAAATTGCGGCGCCAGGATCCCCAGGGCGCGCACAAGTCGGGGGCGTCCGAGTCACAAGACGAGGGGAGGGATGCTATGGCCGGGGCCACAATGTCTCCCAGGTCCGTGGCCCCCCTCTTCTTCCCGTCTCGAAGCATATCTCAGTGCCTGAACTTGGCATCGCCTTATCTCGGTGCAGACCTTGAGGATTCCCGCGGTCTCTGAGGGCACGCCCCTGAGGCTGTCATCGCCTTGGGGTTGCCGATCTTAGGGATGGGGAGCTCGAGGCCGGTTGACTCTCTGTCGTTCATCTTGGCCGGTTGCGGCGCGCCCGAGCGGAGGGGGGCGGCGCCGGGGGGGCGCTCGCTGCCTTCTGCGCAGGTTCGGTGCTGCGCCCCCACACCTGATGGGCGCGTTTTCCACCACCACCACCACAAGTTGGAAGGGGGACGGAGGTGGTGGATGAGGAGGAGGAGGAGGAGGAGGAGGAGGAGGAGGAGGACGAGGAGGACGAGGAGGAAGAAGAAGAAGAAGAAGGGGAGGAGGACCCCTTCCCCCCTCCAACTCATGGATTCATACGCTGGGGAGGGAGACATAATCGGAAAGTACGCTTTCAAGAACACCACACCACCATGGAGCCCACTATCCAATACAGAGCTCCTCTCGGAACTATGTGGCTCCCTGGACGCGTGCATTGCGAACACATTCTTCAACACAGGCGATGAACATACGATCATTTACCACAATATCGGAATCAAGCCCTCTGCTTGTATCGTGCCAAGAGATTTTGAACAATTGGATCATGTCGTCGTTGGCAAAGAAGTGTTATCCGCGATTTCTTCAATATGGAGTGACCAGCAGCGTCCACTTCAATCACATCATTTTGTTCAGGTTGTCGACATGGAGGTCACAATCCCCACATCGTGAACCCAAACTGGATGTCAGCATGATGCGGGAGCTTGGGACCAGAAATACCTATATATATATATATACGCAGTTATTTCTGGAACAGTGGGAGAAAGAGCCACGTCACGAATCTATATCCAACCAAATTTCAGCAGTCGCACGCTGAATGTTGCATGCTGCAAGCGCCTCTCTGCCGCACCGGGTTGCACAGCGAAACCGGCCATGGATATCAGATCGTACTCTCCATTTCATCGAAGAGCGGAACAAAATGCACCAGAGTGGCATCGAGGACAAAACCATGACCAAGCTGATCAAGCAGTTTGCGAAGGCCGACAGGAATTGGCTCACGGAAAGCATCAAAGCAGACGCGTGGGAAATCATAAAACAATTGCGCAAACCAAGTTCACGTAAGTGCGGGCGCCTCCAGGATACAGAGGGCAGACTGGTTGAATCAGCTGACCGTGCAGACACACAGGCAACCTACTTGGAGACAGTGCAATGGCGACCACCTGCACAAGAAGGTACGCTACCGCAGCCAATCGATGGAGGAGCTTCTCTGAAAGTCGATGTGGGCCCGATCAGGACGGAAGAAACAAAGCAGGCAATCGAACACCTCCGGGTCCAACGAGCTGCAGGAGTCGACGACGTGCCGCCTCAGCAGTGGAAAGCATTAGGCGACAACGATAAAGCACTGGATATACTCACGCCTCTATGTGACGCTTGCTGGGTAAAGAAAGATATACCTGAAGAGCTGGAGGAAATCATCAATTTTAAGCATGTCCAAGAAAGGTGGCACGTCTTTTACCGTCAAACTACAAACCAATATCGTTACTCATTGTGGGGTGTAAACTATTGGCAACTATATATTGCAAAGATTGAAACGCGGAGGAGCCGAAGCAGCTTTGCGAGAATCTTAGTACGGATTTAGACCACACCGTGGCACCAGCGAAGCACTATTCTTAGCACGCCGACTAATCGACGCCACGCTGGAAGACAAATATGGTGAATTATTATCGCTGCTTCTAGACTGGAGTAAAGCGTTTGACCGCG